TTCTTTCCCTTCATACTTGTGGGAAACTGTAACATAAGGATAACATTTTTCAAAACTCACAAATCTCCAATTTCCATATTCTCTGCTATGGCTATCAAAAGAATCTTGAAAAAAGTAGACCAAATACACACACACTTATACAACACACACACACACATTCATGCACAGAAACACAATTTAACACCATTAAGTCTCATTTAGCTAACTACGTTTTCACTTAATTTGCTGGGAAGACACCGGGCAATTTCAGACAGAGAGCGGACTAATCTAAGCTGAAGTTCCCCTTAAAGAACATCTGTATTGCACGGTAGTTTCATTCAAAATGCCACCCAATTAACACCGAATGCGAGTGTTTCCCTCCGTCAATACTTCGTTAACTCAATTCCCTTCAAAGTGAACTTCCTTCGCAGCAATATTGACACATTAGAAGTTATTATCAGTCTGCTTTTGTTGCATTATCTGGCACAAGACTTTTGAGGCCCACCACTCCCCTTACACACACAAAGTGTGTTGTAACTGCTAACTGGCTCCAAGCGGGAACAAGTCAGTGCACTTGACACCATCACACCGCAGCTCTTTATGGGCAATAGGATTCCTTACTAACAGCACACCCTTTTCATTAATTAAGCGGCACAAATATGTCTGCACACACGAAGTCTGTTTTCATTGATATTCTGCATAACCTCTTTCACTCCTCGGCTCAAGAATTCACCCTGGTTTTGACTTCCTTTCCCTCCTTGAATGCCTTTCACCTTGCGATTATTTATATACCTCGGCCTCTTTTAACTCATCTTGACTCTTCAGAATATTTTAATTTTTTATTTTTATAAATATAAAGTTGAGTTTATTATTAACTTACTTTAAAATGAATTGGATTAAATAAATCAAAAAGATAAAGTAACCTACCACTGGATTTCTTCTTTTTCTATCAAATGTACTTGCAGAAATGTTGCATCAGAAACTGGTGCTACAAAAACAAATATAAAAGGAGACAAGATGGTGGTTTCACCACTGTCAAGGGATGAAGATGTGCCTGGAAGCAGATGTTTCAAAGAGTTTCTCTTCATAACATCGTCTGATACACGCATCTTGGTCTCCCATGGCAGTAGCAGCAGTCACATGGGCACTGTCAAACAGAACTCTCCTGAAACATTTCTTTCCAATTCGAAGAGTTTTATACAGTGTTTTTCATCAATCTACACAGCCTCTCCCTGATGACTATAATTGCAAACTAGAGCTTGCTTTGACATCAGATGGCAGGACAGTAGTAGGCTACCATCCTTCTGTGGACATTCCATATGAACATGCAAAACCTGTTCCTCGGCCAGACCCTATACATAACAGTGAAGAAACACATGATCATGTGCCGAAAACTAGATTAGAAGTGAAAGATCAGCCCCTTGAGCAAGGACCTATGATAGAACAGCTTAGCAAAGTGTTCTTCACTATGAAGCACCGGTGGTATCCTCTCATGGGCAGTAGCACAGACGTTGTAAGAAAGTGAATCTTCCGAAAGACAGAAGATCTCGAGGTCTCATCAGGAATCAGAGAGAAATGTTATCTTTTGCCTCATTTGCCACTTGAGAAAAATATCTGATGTAGTCCCTACTAGGTTACAAACAAAGTAATTTAAAAAAATAAAAACAACCCCCCCAAACATAAAACATATATGCATTTTACATATGCTAACTTGTAACATACTTATATTTTATGTGCATATTTAAAAATGAAAATAAAAATCACCAGTAATTTTTATCACGATTCTCAATATGTCTGAGATAAAGGAAAAAAATCATAAAAGAGCAAATACCACACCCCATTTATGATTTTGCACTTAGAAGATTGTTCAGTACAAATATGTGAACATAGTTTGGGGTCATATTCTAAGTTAGGTGTCCAATTTGTTTTAATCTGTGACTAGTATATTTTATAAGTGACTCAACATTTCATTCTACTTTGCTCTGTCATTCAAATACATTATGGTACAGATTCAAATTCTCTTTAGTAGAAACGCTTTCTGAAAAAGTTATTAAATAAGAAGTCAATTTACTTGAAAGCCAGCAAAGTTATTTATTAAGCTTATATATCTTTTAAAGGAGGTTTAATTAATGAAAATTATGAGTTGGATAATAAAATATCAAAAGAATAGAAGATAGGCATTGTAATTTCTGCTTGATGTATTCTGGTAGCTTTTGATTTTTTTCTATACCTAGTTGTTTGACCATTTGGTGATGGATAACTGATGGAAGACGCTCCTGCCTGTATGACTAACTGGGATATATCATGAAATCAAACCTATACCGCTCCACTACTTAACTGTGTAGCCCAAAAAACATTTTTCACACAAACAAGATTTCAGAAACTGTGCTCATTTAGGAAGACAATCTTTCAAACTAGAAGAAGAGATGTTCGGTGTAGAAGCTGCCGGTGTAGGGTCACATTCTTCTTGATTAGCTGTAGAAGGATTAAGTATTGGTGCCTGTTTTAGAGAAGCAGCTCTGTCCATCATTCCTGTATTCAGAGATGGCCCATCTCCACTGAGCAATTTGGATCCACGGGAGGTGAACTGGTACTTCCAGGTTTTCTTCCTGTAATTTCTTGGGGAGAGAGAGCATTTCCGTTTTTCTTTTCCTCTTTCGACATTACAGATTCCAATGTTGAATATACACGAGGACTCTCATCGGCATGGTCCAAATACACTGTCATTTCCTCTCTCAGGCTGCTCTCTTTCACCTTGCAAAGTGTAAGATTTCCCCCTCTTCTCAGGCACCTGAATGAAATCTTCTCTTTTGTGTATTTTTGTCCCATCATAAAACCAAACTTCAAAATCAACACCAGGGGAATTCTCCATCACAATATATTTAGCACATTTCATAAAATAGGTGATTTGGAGAGATTTAGATCTTACAAGTTGAAGAAGTCTTGAAGCATATTGATATTTTCCCAGTACTTTCATGGCAAATTTTCAAAGCTGTATCTACTCAGTGTACCTATTCTAGCGGGGGGGGGGGGGGGGGGGGGAGTCTATCAACAAGAGGAATGCCCTTCCATCGTGTGGATAATAAATAGTGGTCATATTTCTATCGCTAGATAGAACTTCTTTCCAAGATTCTTGAGACATAACTCTTGGAGAAGCTCCGCGCATACCTTCTCTGACTCAAGAATGCTCACCCTATAGCCCTTGTGGTTTCTGTCTGATTGGTTTTAACCTGTGAGCAGTCAAAGGATAGGTGATGCTTTGTAGTATAGGTTTCCGATAACCCACTGTTGACTCCGTAATTCTAGTCTTGCTTTGTTTGGGAAGAGGGTCATAACCAAATACAGATTTTTGCTGAATTGTCTCAGGTATGCCATGACGTGCAGGCTGCACTGCATGGGATTTGCTGTGATGGCATGCGCACTGTCTGAAGCATCGGGGTTATTTTGGGCTCTTCTACCCTTCCAGTCACTTCTTGGTGAGTCCTTCTGGGAATCTGGACGGCCCTCCAAGTCTCTGTTCGGGGTAATGCCGTGGTGTTCAGTAGGTTCTCTTAAATGCCATTAAGTTGGAGATACCCAAACCACAGTTGCACCATTTCAGCCTGAGATGTCTGGCTGAAGTGGAAAGGGATCTATTTTCTTGGAACAAGATGATTGGAGAATTCTCGATTGTTGTCAGTTCTTTCAAATGATGCAGAATTATTGGATGTTTTTCCTTTAACGGAATGAAAGACATTGATATTACTACTTGTAGGTGAGTCTCTGACTTCTTTCTCATCTGCTCCTGATCTTAGATGCGGAAAGCATTCCTACTGAATGACGTCTGTCATTCCACTGTATGTGATCTTGCAGGAGATGGACTATCGGAAGGGCCAGATCTATCCAAGGAATGGGCTCTACGAAGGTATCAAGGCTGTGGCCTTTCTTCTGCATCTTGGATTCCTCCTCCTCTTCCGATATTCATAGTTTCTTGTTCTTGATTTCCCCACCGAGTATAAAAACGACTTTCATCTCTCAAAGAAGAAAAAACTCACTTGAATTCTTATTCTTTGGAAATACATTTTATTTGGGAGTGGGTGACCAATCAAAAGTCTTCTCCCATCAAATAAACGACAACATATGCTGGTACTGGAGCTGCAAAGGCAGTAGACATTGTAGCACGTCCACTATCAATCAAGTCTTCTACAGTTCCCAAAACCTTGCTTTTTGTTGAAGAATTTCAGGACACAGGAGAATGGTTTAATACTGAAGACAGACTTAAATGATTCTGCTATATTGGCTCTCTTGACAAATAAGGTGGGGCCTCATAATCTGCCAGCACTACTTTATTTATCCTGATCTTGACTGTATCCATGTCAAAAGGTGGTCCCCCAGTAAGTACTGTATAAAACATACAGCCCAAGGGCCGAACAGCAGAGTCAAGTCCATGTGCACTTCGAGTTGCACACTGTGGTGAAATGTAATTAAGAGTTCCACATAACGCAAAATGCCTTTCCTGTGGCATTTTCAATTGAGCTACCGAACCAAAATCCACCATCTTGATGTGTGTAGTACATGTAAGTAAGATGTCAGAAAGTGTCAGGTCCCGATGCAATATCCCATGAGAAGGACAATGCGACATTCCTGTGATGATCTGATGCTTGACGTGTCGAGTTTCATTTTCTGAGAAGGGATTCATTCTGTTCTTCAGATATCTGTCCATTTCTCCATTCGGGCACATTACCAATATACCAGGTACACACCATAGCTATCTTCAAAATAGTGATAAAGCTCCAAGATAGAGGGGCGCTTCAACTGGCAGTGCATTCTCACCTCACTTTGGCCTCTTGGTACCATGGCTTTCTTAGCTATCATTTTGATTTCAACATGGGAAGGAGGTTAAGGGAGGGGGGGCGGTGAAAGGAAGGAGCAAAGAGGAAGAAAGCCCAAAACAAAATGAAGATTATCCATGCTCCTTGCTGTCAACATTACTTGACTTCCATTTCATCAAAAGTCTGATGGTAGGGTTAGCTCTGAGGTCTAGAAGGGAAATAGCAGGAGAATTATCATCCTACTTTGACCTTTTAAGATAGAATCAAGGATGGATATGTTGTGGTATACAATTATGCTTCCCTAATTTCAGCGAGGCACTACACTTTAATGACTGAGGGCTGACCTGTGTCTTAAAGGACTTGATTTTTGGTATTTTGCCAAATCTCAATTAAGAAATGGTGTCAAATCTTTTAAATTCATAACCATTATGAAAAAGTGCTGCAGCAGGAATGTCAACAGAGAAAAAATGTTGTGAATAAAACAAACCCAACCAAAACAACATGATACACTACTAATAATATTCATAATATTAGGCTAGAATCACTACTCTATAAATAGGAAACTTTTGGTATATGGTAGATTTTTCCAAGTCACAAGATGTACTGCTGAAGCATAGTTAAATAGTCTTTAAAAATGTTAATAAGAAATATTGAGCATTTTAACTCAAATTATAAAATGCTTTATAAAAAAGGGATGGGACCATCCCTGTGATAAAGAGCAAATATTTTGTACTGGTGTATTATTTAAATAGATGACATTATTCTTTTAAAATTATACAAATTGCAATGGTATTCAGACATAAAAATCACTGGAAATTGCAGAGTTTGATTATGTAAAGAAATCAAGAACAGATGATAAAATGAATGTACTTACACTTGGCAGGACTAGCATAAAGGTTAATAAAATCAAACAACCTTGAGGGATGCAGGCAATGGCTAATATACTACATTGAAGTTCTGGGTTCATATTAACTGAAAACAACCTGATTCATTTTTGTTTGTTCCAATATTCAAACCAAAGGAAGCTCCTGGGAATTATTAGAGAGCAAAATTAAAACAACAGATGGACTTGCAGTTGCCTGCATCAGCATGTCTTTTCACAAAGACTCCTGACAATTTCAGAGATTCTAAGGTATTCTATTTAATTTCAAATAAAGAACCCCTTTTTTTTTTCTGAGTGTCAATCTCCGAGGGCCCCAAAGAGAATTATATGAAAACATCATGGAAGTCTTTTCCCTGGCCTTTTATAAGACACATTTTGTAAGCAATTTCTATCTCCCAAAGTATGAATCTTCGTTTTGGGTATTACATGAGAGCAATTATTTTTATGGCTGGTAATTTTGACAAGGATTTTAAAGGGAAAGAAACCAATTTTCTACTTTATTCCAAATAATTAAAGGATTTTATTCTTATTTTATGGATCACTGAGTCATTGCAACAGTGGCTGTGTTAGCACAAGGCTCTAACAGCGTCTACCCTGAGAACAGCAGTCTAGAGATAGGTGTTTTCTGTACTGTTATGGAAAATGCTTGTAGAAACAGGTATTTTGGATATTCACAGAATTAACCCTTTAAAATATTCATATATTTGGAGAGAAGACAACATCAAAAATAATGTAATGGGAGCCCCTACTGCGGGAAATTTCCAGTGTAAACAGGATAATTGTATTTATTGTAGCAAGCCTACGTAAAGTGGACTATGCTTATACAATAAT